TTCCGTATCCGGCGCTTTGACTTATGGTGCTATGACAATAAACAAAAGGCCAACGACAGAACTCCTTTTCAGCTAAGGCCAATACGTGCTTTGGACCTGACCACACCGTGTCTTCTCCCATGGCATGCTCTCATGTTGCCCCTCTCATGAGTAGGCAAACCCACGGCGATGTTTATTCACACATGCAGTACAAGAAAACCAAAAACATATTTTTAGCAAAGACGCGCCCTTATCCTTAGGTGAGGCTACAACACTCATATCGCAATCGATTCATGAGAATTCGCCAGCTGTCCGAAGGATCAGTTTTAGTTGCTCATGTCCCAGACAGTCGCGCAATTACATGAAACTAAAAAGGACGTTCGCGATAAAATCTCCGCCCCCGAAAACCATATCCAAACTGCTGACAAACAACTCACAGAAACTATCACTGAAAACTAAATCTAAATATTCGACAATGACTCTGCAATAGTACTAGACTTAAAATCCATAGACTTCACACACACACACACTTGATGCAGAAATACTCACAACTAAACTCAAGGGAAATCAGACTCTGTTTACGACACTACCAACGTTGCATACCATGAAGTTCTGTAATTTAGTGTCCATCACCTGTAAATCTCATCAAATAAACTTTTCTATTCTATTTTACTTCTTCAAAGTACTCCTTCTCAGCTAAACCATGCATCTCTACATTCACAGCATATGCCCGCACCCGTGAGCATCCCTACCATAGACTTTCACTACCATAGGCTTGGGCCTCACCACACCTGTCTTCTTCCATGGCATGCTCTATGTTGCCCTCTGACAAGTAGGCAAACCCAGAGCGATGTACATTCACACACAGCACACAAAGACCAAAAACATACTTTACAAAGAAGCGCTTGATCCTTAGGTGAGCTACAACACTAATACACTCATTCATAAATTCCAACCGTCCGAAGGACGGGTACTTTGCTAGTTATATATATTATCTGCATATGTATTCACCAGTCTCCTTATATTACTTCTAAATTATAATGTATTTTATTTGCGATATGTAATTTATTTAGAATATATAATTTATCTCTAATTATATTGACTCAACGGTAATTACAGCAGTAGCATAAAAGAGATGACATATAGACACTCAAGAATATATTTCTATGAAAAACGTGAAACGCGTTACCTTCCCCATATAATAAGAGAGAACCCAAATTATCTCAACATTCCGATTACCCGCAACACTAAATAAAATATTTCGTTGCGGCTGGTCGGCGCTAGTGTCACGCATAAGAATGTGTGTACCAGAGCACGCATTACCATAATTATGATATATATATACGTGCTGTGTGTGTGTACGATGCTAAACGAATGATATTTACGTCAGCGTTACAGCTAGTATATAGCTTAATTATAGTTATAGCTTAATTATAGTTATAGCTTAATTATAGTTATAGCTTAATTATAGTTATAGCTTAATTATAGTTATAGCTTAATTTGTCTGAAGGGGCAAAGCCACGGGCGTTTTGCGTTGTGGAGTATGGCAGTTCGCCGTGACCGTTGCCAAGGGCTGGGGTATCGAGCTCGCTGCCTCAAACACACTGTGGCCGGCAGCTCTCTAATTATTATCTCTAATTATATTGACTCAACGGTAGTTACAGCAGTAGCATAATTATAATCAAACAGCGATTGCCACAATAAAAACAAAAACCCAAATATACACAATACATCGATAACATAATAATAGATTCGTGACAGGCCGAGGGTGCAGACAATAAAACACTACTATAGACTGGTTCAATTTTCAACAAAAAAATTCATATTCAGCACGAAAATCCACTACAGAAAAACCTATTTGTTTGCTTTTCCTCAAAAACGCCTCATGGATCTTAAATAAGCACATTTCTTGTCTAGACTACTAGGTCATTCAGGCGTCATTATCTTAAGTAAATGGCTGGTTTTCTTGGGAAGGTTGTGTGAGAAGGTGAGGCCATGAAATAACAAACGAGCGTGCATTGCGGATTTACTGAATCCGGCAACTCACGCATGCACGAACGACTGAGAACAAAGGCAAGGCAATGAGAGAAGCAATGATAATAGTAACTCATATTCGGTTCTTATTGTGATTAGTCGTCGGGGAATAGTAGGCCTACGTCTAGCCGACTGTGTGTACATAGGTGCACGGGTCAATGCGGAGTATTATAACGACCATGGCTATCGTGTTGATAGGTTCGGGGTACTCCCGTGCTCTGGTGGGGGCGGTTTCGTTACAGTTCATGCTCATGAGCTTAAGGGCGGCCAGTGGCGCGAGAAATTTCCAGAGCGGATATCACCATTTAAATCCTTCCCGGGCATACCTCTGCCCATTTTGAGCGCGTAAGTTTGGCCGATAAATATTACTTTGACTGGCAGCCCGACCAGCGATGCGAGCGGGCATATCATATGATATACGTGGCATGGCTTGTGTGTACGATGCTAAACGAATGATATTTGCGTCAGCGTTGCAGCTAGTATATAGCTTAATTATAGCTATAGCTTAATTTGTCTGAAGGGGCAAAGCCGACGGTGCGTTTTTGCGGTTGTGGAGTGGATGGTAGTGTCGCACGTGACTCGGTTGCCAAGGTCTGGGGGATCGAGCTCGCTGTCTCAAACACACTGTGACCGGCAGCTACGGTCCTATGCTTATATATAATATATATATATATATATATATAGTATTATATAGTATAATATATATTATAGAGAGAGAGAGAGAGAGAGATGGCGGATGAGAGAAGAGAGAGAGAGAGAGAGAGAAGGGAAAGGAGAGAGAGGAGGAGAGAGAGAGAGAAGAAGAGAGAGAAAGATGAGAGAAGAGAGAGAGAGAGAGAGAGAAAGAGAGAGAGAGAGAGAGAGAGAGAGATGAGAGAGAATATAATACATCAAACTAATACTACACTAGAATATAACTCTGTTTAGATAAGTTGCTTTGATATCATTGATTATTTTTAATCTGCCAACACGTTTGTTGAAAACGAGTTTATTAGAACAGCTCAATAAAAAAAACCTTAGCTCAGGATGGATTAAATTAATTTAATACAAAAAAGAAAGGCCTGTTTTCATTCAAGTTATGTCATTTTATTCAAAGTCGTATCAACGTTGGACAGGTACATGCAGCAACAATCCAGTCATCAGTATAATAGCTATCGAGAGTAAAGATAAGTAATAGATTCTTGACTCCTGACTATTAAAGTGATATCGGCGTGAGTATGCGCGTGTGCGCGCTTGTGTGACAGTGAGTATAAGTTATGATAGTCTGTGATATATATATATAATATATATATATATATATTAGTATAACTATTATGATATAATTATGCCAGTGGCAGATCTACAGGGGTTGGGGGGAGGTTGCACGCCCACCGCCCGTTCAGTCCAGCTGACTATTGTTATGATACTAGTAAAATACTGCAAAAAATAAATTAGCATGCCCTCGGCGGACACGCCTACTTCGCGCCGCGTGGACTACATAACTCGCAGGCCGCGTACTGTGCCAATTTCGGCAGCGCCTTTCAGCTCAAAAATCAACCCCGGTCGATCCCACCGTCTCCTGAAAAGACTAGATCCGCCCTGATCATATATAATATATACTATATATATATATATATATAGATATATATAAATAGTATATATGATATATATATATATAACCAAGCGGGTGTTGTGCGGTGCGCGGGCAGCTTTTTGCTGCTTAGCCGTATTTACAGCGTTTGCGTGCGCTCGCCGCAATTTTTCCACGATGCACCATATAACATTTTTTATTCTGCACGTGTGCAGTGTACGCACGTGTTGAGTAATAAATTTGGAGCCATAAAAAAGAATGCCGAGTGAATATTGGTTTATCACGCACGGAAAGTAACCACACGACACACACACAGTGGCCCACACTACACATCCACACAATGCACAACCACAACACACACACACACCCACACATCACACACACAGCACACATCACACACACCATCAAGCCACACACACAGCACCAACACACACACACACATATTATATATATATATGCGTGTGTGTGTGTGTGTGTGTGTGTGTGTTACTTTCCGTGCGTGATAACCAATATTCAACTCCCATCTTTTTTATATCTCCAAATTTATTACTCAACACGTGCGTACCTGCACACGTGCAGATAAAAAATGTATGGTGCATGGTGGAAAAATGCGCAAGCGCACGCAAACGTGTAAATACGACTCAAGCAGCAAAAGCGCCCGCGCCACGCACAACACCCGCTTTTATAACGCGACAAGGAAACCCGCGAGTCACAGGACTAAAACATAATGTAAACGAGCAGAACGTCCCTAACTTCCTAAAAGGTCCCTAAAAAAACGTCCATAAACGTCCATAAACGCTAACGTCCATAAACGCTAAACGTCTAATAAACGTCTAAACGCTAAACGCTAAACGCTAAACGTCCATAAACGCTAACGTCCATAACCCTAGCTGAACTGCTTAAATACCGCGCGAAATAAGAACTGAATAGTTCTAGAAATACTACAGTATGACACGCTCAACAGAAATGATGAGAAGAAATAACAATATATGTAATATATATATATATATACACATATACTAGTCTATATGAGTATAGCTTGAGGTGGCACTGGTCTGACGCTCAGGCAGAGCATATAAATCAACTGGCTCAAGGAGCTAAATATATCATTTTAGCTCCTTTTAGATTTGTTTAGCTCCTTTTAGCTCCTTTTTTTAGCTCCTTTCACATTTTAGCTCATTTTAGCTGTTATATTTAGCTCCTTGCTCTGGCTCAGGTCTGACCACTGATCTCTATAATATAATCGAGATTATATTATAGAGATCAGTGGGTCTGACCACAGAAATAGAATAGAAGTTCTACTTCTATTCTATTTCTGTGGGTCTGACGCACTGGTAGCAGACGATCTATTGTAAACAGGTGAACAGTAGACGTATACTAGCATCAGCACCATCTGTTGGCAAACGAATGCAACTCATCATCTTGAAGAAGTCGTCAGTGTAAATTTGCCACGTTTGAGACGGATGTCAATATTTATGAATTTTGTACAGTATATTTAATAACGTTTATTTGATAGCTGTCAGTATCACTCAAGAGTACCGTTAGCCAAATGTTTCACTGTAATTGTGCTCGCGATGAAGAAAGGTTACGCCCGTGGAAGTTTGCTGCAAGGTTCGTAATCGTTAACCTAGTAACTAAATCAAATGAGGCCCACGTACGTAGGCCCCCTACATGTTATTTTTTTGTCTATTTGATGAAATAGTTAAGTAGACTGTCCATAGCAATGCATACGCTTCCACTTGGTGATTCTGATTTCGTGTGTCGTATACCGAACTTTCTGAAATTTATAAAGTAAAAACTTGGAATTGCACTAACTAAGTAATTTAGTAAAGACTGAAGTTTTCAGGTGACCCAGTGCCAGTGGCCCTAGCTCTAGTACTATAGCCCGCGGATCGCCTATAGCCTGCGGCAGCGATCCTAGTCTAGTTGCGGGCCGTATCCTTTCAATAGTGAACCAAGAAATTTTTAATAGTTCAAGGTTTTTTTATTGATATGTATTCATATCCATGTCTGGAAGATTTTTAGCTTTGTTGGCACAACGCCAACTTTGGGGAACATTTTTAATTAGCTAATTTGCATAATTAACATGGCCAAATCCAACTTTACTAAAAGATTACTATGAATCGGGCCAGAATTTAAAGAAATCATCGTAGTCTCATCAACGTAACGAGCGATTATGGCCGCCTTTGGCGAGTATTTGTAGTTGCTAGTCAACAAGACGTTACAGAATCCGTGCCTCATGCAGCATAACTATATGCAA